GAGAGAGAGAGAGAGAGAGAGAGAGAGAGAGAGCGAGCCTCTGAACTTTTGTTTCATGTTTCACTTCTGCTGACTGCCTGACTCAATCCATTTACATTTGCACATTTTATAAATATATGTAGGCTTTGGAAGATATACGGTGCTAACATGTTGACTCCTATAGCACAGCATGTTTCTTGACTTTGCTTTTGTAAACTTGAATGCAAGAACCATGTCAAATTTATCTTCACATCATCTGGAATTTCTAGCATGAAGCCTATCGAAAAACAACAGATAGCTTTTGAATATTTCACTAAAATGAAAGTTCAAGTCCAAATTCATCAGTTCATATTATGGTTAGCTTATTTATTCATACGTTCGAGTACAGACATGTGTAAGTTCAAATTGTACCCTTAAGTCTGTGCAGCCCAAGACTTGCTCTTATGGACTTTAATTACTTTAAATATCCTCGGTTTCAGCAAGAAGTCAAGTGAACACAGAGGAAGTGCTATAATTGGCCACTCTTGTTGATGTTGAGCATTTTGGTGGAAGGGACATAAATCAATAAAAGATCCATTTTCTATTTTCAGCAAGTGCTTTAAAGATGGAATTAAGATAAACTAACCTAGCAGTACCCCAGCCCTATTTTGACCATGATCATCTGAAGTGTTGGAGGGCTGTACTTTGGTTGTGGTCTAGGGAGTCAAATCCCATCCTAAGAAAATTGAGGACTGAGTAGAGACTTAGCTGATACATAGGTTCTGCTCAGTGGTTCTGCTGTCTGCCTGCCTCGCAAGCGCAAGGGCCCAGGTTGTTCCCCAGTACAAAAAAGAGACTTAGCTGATACGTAGTTTAGTTTTCCATCTGTAAGATGAGAAAGAATTCTGTATTGAAAACATTGCTTCACATTTTCCTGGGAGGCAGTATGGTATACTGGGAAGAAAACTCTGTCAGGAACCCAAAGGGTGTATCTGAATTCTATGCCTCACTCTGCTCCCAACTCAGCACACCCGGAGTTCGTCCACTTTCTGAGCCTTAGTTTCTCATTTGTAAAGTGAAGCTGAACTAGATGATTTTTAAGGGCCTGTCTGTCTCCAAAATGCTATGTGGAAAACAGGCTGTTGGTGTAGAGCTAGAGGGCTGGTGTGAAGGCCTCTCAAAACCTGTTTTCTCTTTGTCATTTATGCATCAGAAAATGACAGATGGCGAGACCTGGATAGGAAATGTCCTCTTCAGATTGACCAACCGAGCGCCAGCATCTGGGAATGCCTGCCTGAAAAGTGTCAGGATAGCTCACTGTGGCACCGGGAGGCAGTGACCACCTGTGCAGTGACCAGCCTGATCAAAGACCTCAGCATCAGTGACCACAATGGGAACCCCTCAGCACCCCCCAGCAAGCGCCAGTGCCGGTCACTGTCCTTCTCTGATGAGATGTCTAGCTGCCGGACATCATGGCGGCCCTTGGGGTCCAAAGTCTGGACTCCTGTGGAGAAGAGACGGTGCTACAGTGGTGGCAGTGTCCAGCGCTACTCCAATGGCGCCAGCACCATGCAGAGGAGCTCCAGCTTCAGTCTCCCTTCCCGCGCCAATGGGCTGTCCTCGCCCTGCCACCAGGCGGGACTACATCGCTTTGGGGGACAGCCCAGCAGCCAAGGAGTGCTGGGCTCACCCCCCTGTGGATGGGCAGGCGACCCCTGGAGCCCTGACCCACACCCTGTGGGTGGGGGCCGGCTAGACCTTCAGCGGTCCCTCTCCTGCTCACATGAGCAGTTTTCCTTCACAGAATATTGTCCTCCCTCAGCCAACAGCACACCTGCCTCAACGCCAGAGCTGGTGAGACGTTCCAGCGGGCTGTCCCGCAGCCGCTCCCAGCCGTGTGTCCTTAACGACAAGAAGGTTGGTGTGAAACGGCGGCGCCCTGAAGATGTGCAGGAGCAGAGGCCTTCCCTAGACCTTGCCAAGATGGCACAGGTAAGTGCCCCAGTGCTGCAGAGGGGGCTTCAAAAGCATTTCTGTGCTGTGCTCATGGGAACCTCTGCTGGTCTTGGTCTGTCCTGGCCAAGTGTACAGTGCTGGTTTACAGAGATGCCCAGGAGTGGGTCAGTTCCCTTGTTTTACACATCCTCTTCAAAGGAAGATGATTTCAAATTGCTTTTTTTTTTTAAGTGTCTATTTCTTTCTGTTTAAAATGAGAGACATGCTCTTTCCCTGTGCCGCACACTGTTAGTGGTATAAGAACAGACAGATGGTGAAAGGCAGGCGTTGGCAGGCAGTCCAGTATGACCAAACACTGTAGTCCCTTTCCTGCCCTTCCCAGGAGCCCTCTTTCCAGGATCTACCCTGGAGGCTGCTATGAGACACATGCTCACTTTCATTGTCACTCAGATTATGCTGATCCTAAGATCAGGGTCACGGTCATGGTTTTAGAGACCAGAGCAGGGGGTTGTGGGCATATTCCTTTGATTAAACTGTTGAAAATGTTAAACTGCCAAGAAATGTGATCAACATCCTATGTGCCACGTCTGTTCTTGCCATTCCTGTAGTTAGAAACCTCTGCCCACAAAGCCCTGTCCTTTGAACTTCATCTTCTTTGTCTCGGGGCTCTGAAGGCAGGGTCGCCAGTGTCAACCGGAATGAGGTGGACTTGAAGCCAATACACTCTTGACTTGGATCTGAGGGCTGTCTCCATTTGGTTCTTGCCAGGGAGGCCAGAGGGTGTGAGTGTGATGGTAAGACCAAGGTATCTGTTTGGCTCTGTGACCACTGACTTTATGGATATAGAAGGGAGAACCGTGTCCATCTAGATAGCCATGTTGCACAGTATCAAGTGTTTGACCATTGTCCTTTTTCCAGTCCAATGACTAGAAACATCAGTCACCTCTCAGCTTGCAGAGCTGGAGATCCTGCTAGAGGATGGTCTCTGTGTGGATAGCCTTGCTCTTGCAGCACCAGCACCAGATTCAGTGTAAGGCTGGCTTTGGTGTCCACTCTGTTTCAATTGGGAACAGTGTCAGTTTATAGAGTTTTCTTCTCTCCCCTTTAGTTCTCCTTCTAGCCTAGAGGACCCCACAGAAGAAAAGGTTCAGATATGTCCAGTCCAGAGCATACCTGGCCTCAGTCCAGACTTTCTGGACCCCAGGCCCCAGCTGGGGCAGCTGGTGGTAGTGTCGATGACATGCTTGTGTCTTCCTGTACCCATGGGCCCCAGAGCTCATGCTTCTCATCCAGTTTCTCTGTCTTCCATCTTTGCACAAAATGTGTTCCTTTCTTCTTCTTGTATACCTGACATTTCTGGTTTGATTTGCTGGACAGTGGTTGGACATATGCATTGAACATTAAGAGAAAGTTTATTTTTCAGAGGCTTTAAATAAGCAAAAAGGCCGGAAAGGTGACATTTTTGGGTGACTCCTAAAGGAAATCCAGAGCCTTGAGTTCTGGATGTGATACATAGCCTCAGTTAAATTTTTAATGCTGGGCTTATTTTATTAGCTAATAAGCTAGAGGGGTAATAAAAACAACTTACATGTGTTATTATATTTTACTAGCCACTGGTTGGAATAACACAATTGGCATCACTGGAGATATTTTCCAGCCTTACTTGAGTTGAAACTGTTTAAAAATGTATCAGTTGATTGGGCCATGCCCAGATGTATAGGTTGCTTCATCGGCTTCAGGCACGTCTCCAAGATCCCGGTAGCGTGCTGGATCCAGAAGGTTGCCTTAATTCAGCCTGTCTCTCCTCAGCCACCTGCTCATCAGCTAGTCTGTGGTATGCCGGAGCACAGGGAAAGCAGAGGCCCCTGGGAAGGAAAGCACGTGTACCCAGCAGCCTGTCTCCAGACCCCTGATGGGGCCATGGATTCTAAGCCATCTCCCACCAAGCATCCAACTGTAGCCTGCCCTCTTCATGGGGTTCTGTGGCTCTGCCTGCCTCAACTTCCCACTGGATGATCTAGGGCTTTAGGATATGGGCCTTGCTTTTCTAGGAGGTGTAGGAAACCAGGCCTAGGGAAATCCTTACTTAGCCAGGACCCTAGTGTAGAACCTTGAGTCAGGGTACCCAACAAGCGGGCTTGTTGCTGGGATACATTGCCAGGGGCTGGCTGGGGATAGACCATTTGCCCACAGATACTATCCTTTGTGTACTCTGTACTCAGCATTTGTAACTACCAGGAAGTGTGCAAGATCTTCCTTCCTATGGGAGAGGCTTGTAGGTGGCTTTGTATATCTGTGGAAGGATTGTTCCCAGCGTTGGTACCAGCCTATATGTCCTTAAGCTAACTCTGGACTCTATTTCATGGGCCTCTGATCTTAGTCTGTGCATTTGTTCCACTTGAGCAGTCTTGTGAAGGAGCCCTTTTGCTCGTGGCTTCTAGAGCCAGGTGTGTGAACACTTCAGATTAAAGGTACAAAATGCCTATTTGGTTAAACCTTTGGAACAGCTGAGTGTTCAGATAAAAATACCTTAGGTCCCCAGAGAGGCTGATAGGGGCCAGGCATTGGGGCCTACAGCAGACCTCCGTGAGACTCCGAATGAGTCTTCTCTTTGGCTCTAGAGACAGTGGGAATCAGATTCCCTCCAACCCACCAGGAGAAGAACGGCCAAGGAAATTAGACAGCAAGGGAGGGCAGAGTGCTCAGAGGTCCCTGCCTCACTTTGTCTGCATCATAGCTGGTTTTAGCAGGAAAAAGAGACGGGTATAAACTTCGTGATAGAAGCAGGTGTGACCTCAGGGTTTGTCCCTTCCAGCGCTTCCTGAGGAAACTGAGGCTTTGGTGGTCACTAGGTCACTTCTGAACATGGTGCTTTCTTTTGGGTCTGTATTTAAGAGGGGACATTGACAAACCAGAAGACCTTCAGGAGAGGGACAGGAGGCTGGAGCCTTCGGCACACCGCTTAACATCTGTGTGCAGCAGACACCACAAGCACCAACACAGCACCAACCAATGGGAGGAATGAAGAGAAATAGTGAGCGTGTATATACTGTGTTCAGCTGTGTGTGTGCACACATGTGTATTTGTGTATCTCTGTGTGTACATACATGTGCATGCATGCATTATCCAGTATACTTCATCGTGGTCACAGGGCCTGTAGGAGATTGCAGCTCATTGTAGGCAACTCAGAACAGAGGTAGAGGTGCGTGCTCTAGGGTCACACTCAGTGTCTTATAAGAACACCTTTTTTTTCCCCCCCGATCCTTTTCCCTTCTTCCCTTTCTGACCTTATCATTTTCTGCTTCTTGCTTGATGCTCTTTTGCCTCATTCTTTTTCTTTTGTGAATGGGAAGGAGCCTGCCATGATCTCCACGTTGAGAGCTGAGAGTTATGAAATGGTGACATCATCAGATTTTCACCCTCTGCCAAAGGAAGTTGGCCGTATGTAAACATTCTTGTCTCATGTTCATTGCCCTTGAAACTAGGGTGGAAATAGCCTAGGAGCTCACCAGCGGCCCACCTCTTCCCAGCCACGTCCAGGGGCATGGCTGTCATTACTGCACAGCGGCCCTTGTCCTCTCAGTATGAGGACGACACACAGGGGACAGGGGTGTACAGTTTGCTTTCACATTGTCTTTGCTCATGTCTTTTTTTTTTTGGTACTGGGGATCAAACTTGTTACCTCGTGCTTTCGAGGCAGGCAGCGGCACCACTGAGCTAAATCCTGGACCCCTGCTCATGTCTTCTTAAACCCCAATGCCATAGTTGTAGGCAGGGACACCAAACAAGGCCGTAGGATCCTGAGTGAGGGATTTTGACTGTAGTGAGGAAAGCCCCGAAGGGGAAAGAGGCACAAGTGCAGAACTGTTCACCCTCACTGTAGTTGAGATTATGACTACTTGACTCCGCAGTGGGAGCTGCTTAAAGGCAGCCCAGAATGCTCCGATCGGTGCGCTCTGATCCTGCTGCCCTTTCTCTGCTGCTTTTCTCATTGCATGGTCTTCTGAGGTTCCTGCTGCCTGGGGCTTTTTGTGAAGCCATCGCCTCTCTTTTTCACAACAACAGTGTGTGTCATTGAGGGCAGAGCCTAGCCTGAGCACAGGAGTTGTCTATCAGCAGTACTTTTGCTGACATTGCTAGTGACTGTTTATCTGAGACCTGGTGTGACCATCAAGCAGTGATTGTCTCTTGGCAAGACTCGAGCTATCTGTGGCCATTTAAACGTGCAGTGGATGTATAAGTAAAGATTACAGAAAAAGCAACAATTAATAAGATTACCCATTGAATGCTATGCCCCTGGGCAACCTAGTCCGTCCCTTATTTTTAACTCCAGGCTGGTTAGCTTGAAAGAGAAACAAATTATATTTTTCAACAGTGCTTCAGACAGAAGCAATACATTCATAGGGAGGGGTTGGGGTGCCAAAACAGAGGTTTGATTGATTGCAGCTGCCCTCACGCTGTATCCCCTGAACTTCTCTGAGGAGGCCTCAGAACAGGCAGCAACTGTTGAATTCATTAGCAGATGTTTGAAGGACCCATGAAAGCTGGCCAGGGCAGTTTGGGGTATGGAAGGAGCATGAGGTGCAAACTAGCAGGGCAGCACATCTTTAGAAAGTCTTTGAGAGCTGGGGTACTACTGATGAGTGGAGGGGACCTGGGTTGATCAGGGCCACAGGGTCTCCCCTGGCCTAGGGGCTGTTATCCAGCACTCAGCAGAGGCTTGTGACATGTGCTTAGCAATAACTCATGGCTCTTTGCTGGGTAGAGTCATTTGTGGGTGAATCTCCTTCTGGCCAACCTTCCTCTCCTCTGTGGGACAACCTTAAACAAGGATCAGTGGTCCTCCTCGTCACCGCGTAGGGTGGCATGACTCTTCATGCCACTAGCTGAATGATCTTGTCCAGGTAGTCTTGGCAGCTGCAGGCCAGCTGTGCTTTTTCTTGGCCAAGTCCCTGGGTTTTGATCTGGTTGGCTTGAGTCTTCGTGGCCTTCTGTCCACCCTGCCAGTTGCCAGACACTGCTGCCTTGCACCATTA